TCTTTCTCTCTTCTCTCTTTTGGATTTCTGTAATTGGCGCTGATAGCTCATATAACCGCGTGAGCTCGTCACCCTGGATGTCTATGGGGGGCATACTAGCTAGTACTTCAGATGCTTYGCTGGAAATTGTTCGGAAAGCACTTGTTACTCTTATTGCTGTSAGTCTATGCACTGCACTTATTGGTTTGGCATATGCTTTTATGATTACTGCCTGTATCCATACAGGGGCTGCATATAATATAACTGAGCTCATAGCTTTTGCGATTAGAAGTCGTCGGCTAGGGCGCATAGCGTCTATTTGCCATCATTCTTGATAAGGCGTTATAAATCTTATTTGCTTTATTTKCTATGTTTGCCAAGTGCTGCTTGAATTTCAGCTTGGAGTCCAATATTACCCCTAAGTACTTCAGCTGCGGTTGTGAAAAAATCACGCACTCTCCTATAGTGAGAGTTATTTTTTCCTCAATTTTCCGGGTGCTTATGAGCAATACCTCTGTTTTGTGCTCAGCCAGTTCCAAATTCTTGGAAGAAACCCTTTGGCGTAGACCATTTATGCATTCATTACATTTATTTTGTAAGTCATCGAGTTGTTTACCTACTGCTACCACTATAAGGTCGTCCGCGTATGCGATTAGCTTAACGTGTTTAGGCTGTGGAATTCTTAGCACCCCATCATAAACTAGATTGCATAAGAGAGGGCCTAGAACAGAACCTTGTGGTACTCCGCTTGTAATAGGGTAGCTCTTGATGCCTTCGTTGGTGTCGTAGATCAGCTTTCTATTTTTAAAATAACTCATAACGATATTTATGAGGTACCGAGGGGCGCGTATTCCATATAGTGCTTCGAGTATATTTTTCCATTTAGCAGATTGAATGCATTTTTCACATCCAGGGTGATCAGCGCACAATATTTTTTTGTACCACCTTTCCATCTTTTGCCACTTTCTGCTCTTTTCGCAGTGTCGACCACTTCTATCAGTGCATCGATAGTAGACCTCTGTTTTCTGAAGCCGTATTGTCTTTCKGATAGTCCGCCGGCTTCCTGGATTGCAATCTCCAAACGGTTTCTTATTATGCTTTCGTACACTTTTCCCATTGTGTCGAGCATACACAGAGGTCGATACGAGGAGGGTTCATCTGGTGCTTTTTTTGGTTTTGGGATTAAAACCAGACGCTGGACTTTCCAGGGATCGGGGAATATCCCTTCTTTAATGCATGCGTTGTACATTTTTGCAAAAAGAGTGGGCTTCGAAATTTGGCTACCTTTAGAGCTCTGTTTGGTATTCCGTCGATACCAGGCGCTTTGTTGTTTTTGATTTTTTTGGCTATGGCCAGTAGTTCTTCTTCTGTAACCAGTGGGGGTGATTCAGCAGCTTCGTTTCGTTGATCAGCGTTAGTAATCGGCTCGTGCGTCGGAAATAATGCCTCGATTCATGAATGGAGCGCATTTGGGTTGCTGCCGCTTATTTTTGAATTTAGACATACAGATTTTATAAGCAGTCCCCCAGGGGTCTATATTCGCTTCTCCACAGATTTTTTCAAAACAGTTCCTTTTGCTACGGGTTATAGCTGACTTTTAGGACTTTTTGTGACTTTTAAAAGCTTCTTTGAGACGGTTTACGTTTTCATCGTTTTGATTGCGTTGTAGGCGACGTCGAGCTGCATGATACAGCTTTCTCAGCGTGGCAATTTCTTCATTCYACSAGTATACAGGTCTTCGCTTATTGTGACATTTCGTCCTTCGCATTGTAACGTCGCATGCTGCCACCAGTTCCTTTCGCAGTGCGGTTACTAAGTGGATGCCGCCTTCG